GGTGGTCCGTCCCTATCACGACCACGTTGCATCCCATTGATATGACGTACTGTCTATCTTCATGCTATTAGGCGTTTGGTCTTTTGCCCTGTTGCAGACGGCTTGCTAGCAACTCCGACCCCACTTGTCTACCGCCTACGTGCCTCCGGCCGTTTTGAGTCGGACCCGCTTGGGCTAAGCCCCACCGCCCCCAAGATGGGCCAACATGGCGACGAGATGGGATGGCAAAGATCCACCAACATCGACCCCAGCTGGGCCGACAAAGCCACCACAACAACAACAACCACAACAACAACCGCCCCAACCACAACAACAACCACAACCACCACCACAACCACAACGACAACAACAACCACAACAACAACACTCCCCTTTGCTTGGGCCCCTGGCCGGCTGTCGGGCGTAAGCCCTTAAATATATCCGCCGACCCCACACCGTGGGGTGAGGCGTGACTGTCGATGTTAGCCTTAGCCTTAAGCCTTAGCCTTAGCCTTAGCCTTAGACCTTAGACCTAGTCCTTAGCCTTAGACCTAGACCTAGACCTTACCTCCCCTACCCCTCCGGACCCTTGTTGCAGTGACGAAATCCTGCCAGGAAAGCGACCCGGATTGTCCAAGAATCTGCCACCCCAATTGATTTACATCTTGGGGCACCCTCTCGACCCGCGCGGGAAAATAAGCACGGTCCAAAATGGTCCTGGGCTCGAATCCCGGGCTGGTCGCGGCATGGTCCCGGCCAATGCCCTTGCTTTTTTGTAGATTTTGTCACGTTTTCTGTTGGCTTATGAGATTTTCAAAGGCTTTTCTGGCATTTTCCTAGGAGTGCTCTAGGCTTTGTCTTTTTGGGTACCTGCTTTGGTGGTGCTGGGTTGGGTCTAAATTGGTAAACCTGGGAGGTACCCAAAAAGTCGACTTTTTGGGTGCCTGCTTTGGTGGTGAAGGGTTGGGTCTAAATTCTTGGGCAATGATCGGGGTTCATGCAAGAGCTGACGTCCGATGGTAAATCTGGGAGGTACCCAAAAAGTCGACTTTTTGGGTACCTGCTTTGGTGGTGCTGGGTTGGGTCTGCACTCTTAAGGCTAAGGCTTAAGGCTAAGGCTAACATAGAGCAAGGCTAGCGCTAAGGTTCTATCCCTTGGGGGTCGGCGGCTGCAGGCGGTAGCCTGGTAAATATATATATATATATCATGCTAAAGGCACCTTCTTTGTATAAAAATGTATATAAATGCATTGAACAAAAAGTCCTTGCATAGAAGTCTGCCTTGCTGGCACACTCCGAATCAAAGGTTGTCGGAAGAAGTGGCCGGCCATAAAGCAACAATAAAGTCTGCAATCCAGTTTGGCTTAGGCCTCGCCCTCGTAGCGGACCGAATTGGGCGCCATGGTCCTTCCCGCTCCGAACACGTGTCTACCTCTGTCTCTTTCTCATGTTTCCTGCAATACAACCCCTTCAGCCTCAAAGTCAAAAGCAAAAGCAAGTTATATACTTGTTTGAACTCGTCTGACCCCTGCACCAAGGGGATTCCGCCTCGGGTTTGCTGGCTTAGCTGGCAGGATTCCGTACAAATGTTGTTAGGCCTGCAAGCAGATCTAAGTGTTCGGGGGTGCAAGACAGTCGTGAACTTGCTTGCAGCTGTTTGTGGCAGAGAGTTCAAACGCGTTCAGACCTTCTCAGTTTTTGGTAGCAGCGCCCTAAGGGGCCATGCGTTGTGAGGTTTTTGCTTTCCTGGTAATTTTGCTTGCAGCTCGTGTGGTGGTGCAAGTTGGGTGGGTTCGGGTCGGGGAGAGGGGGTGCGGGGGTAATACCAATCGTTTCACACGCTACCGCTACGGCAGGGCAGTGCTATGCTTGTGTTAAGAATAGTTGTTTCATGCGCTATACCAGCCCTGATCTTGCGTAAGAATCCTTTCACGCGCTACGCCTGTGCTATGCTTGTATTGAGAACAATCGTTTCATGCGCTATGCCAGTGCTATGTGCTTGCGGTAAGAAGAATCCGTTCAAACGGAACGCCAGGGCTAGGTTCTGAGCTTCGGGGTCCAGGAAGGAAGAAGAGTCACTATTTCAGATTGGAAAGCCTGTGGTTTCACATGGTACTTTGAAGTTCTAAATGTTTCTCATTGACAATGAGCAGTCCACTCCGGGGTACCTGATGCACACCCAACATGAGACGCGAATTCCTCTGAAACTTTGTGAGCGGAAAAACACTCTATATCATATCCACCAAAAGTGTTCAAAACTGTCACGAAACACCTAAATCAAAAATAAATCACAACGTGGGAAAATCAGCCGATCCCAAATCAAAACACTGCTTCAACAAAACACTCCAACACACAGCCCCTTACAGGCGCTGCAGTTTTTGACTCCCCTTTGGTTGTGGGATATTGGTACGCCAAATCCTTAGCTCCCTCCCAACTACAGGCCAGTTCCTGGCATCTTCCTCGAAAGGTCTAAACCTTGTGGAGTAATGACTACCTCTGGTTTCCAAGCCTGACTCCAAAACAATGTTCGAAGCTATGGGCCTTTGGATTCGGACAAGCTGATCGCTGATGGATCAGAAGGGCAAGTTGGGTGCTCAAGGGGCGTCCTGCTCGTGAATGTCTCTCTGAAGGATAAAAAAATTGGGCAGGATCCGACCTGTCTCAAGATAAGGGGCTGCGGCTGCGCCTTCAAACTCTGACTATATTGTTCGAGCATACTTCTGTGAACAATCCATGCACATGTTGCCCATTGAAAAACGATAAACAATAATAACAACAATAACAAAATGCAATGCACATTCCGTTGTATGACAACGAAAGAGTCAGAAAGCCACACACTTCCTTCACACTCTCCGCGTCCTGTGTGTGTGTGTTGGACACTCGACGCAACAAGCGGCGAGCCCAGGATAAACTCTCTGAGGCTGTTCAGCAATGCAATGAAAGCAGGTGGAAGACAAGGTAATCCCACAAGTAGAAGTAGAAGACAAGGTTGTCAAAACCTGTGGTTCCTGGGTCCCCCTAGTTTTTGCCACACAACGCCTTGAAAATGAATGAACTTGCTCTCATTTGTCTCTCAGCATTGGAGTGAAGTCGAAAAGCTCTGACACTTAAGGCCAGGTATGTGCACAGGTGCAGCTGAGAATTAGCAGCGAGTACCTCACAAAATACTTGCCCAGGGTGAGGCCTGTACAGGTGCAGGGCATTGGTGCAAGCTTCCCTGAGACATCTTCTTTCAACTCAGCAGCTCTGTGACTTGGTCGGCAATGAAAATATCTTAAGTCCACAAAGCTGATGTACATTGTGTGCGGCAGCAAAAGATCTTATGAATGAATTCCGTGATGGTCTTGCCAGCGATGGGCGATGGCAAGCTCAAAGCTGGAGTCGATCTAAGAACCGAGCGCATGCATACACTGTTTGGTGACCACTTCCCTTGCCACGAGGTCTAGTGACTTCGTACAATACAACCTCTCAGCCAGGAATCACGTGCAACTTCATTTTTGGGCACAAGTCACAAGGACTCTCAATGACACTCTCAAGAACTCTTGCCTTGAACTGCCATGTCTGTTCCTTTTCGCTTTTCTCAAGCTCCGCCTTTGAGAGCAGCCCTTTTGGCCTTCTGTCGCCTTTTCTTTTCACTTCGATCGCACAAGTGGCAGAACAAGCACATTGCACCGTTGTTGCATCCCTTGGCATACAGGAAAGAGCATGGCTTGCAATCACCGCTGTAGTGTCCCCTCGAGCCTATGCTCGGAAGCTCTGCTGATCCTGGTGCTGGCTCAAATGGAGCTGGAACAGTCGGAACCGCAGGCTCGCAAGGCGCCCCGCCATAACAAGGCTGGTCCACATATGGTGGCTGCTCCACATAAGGTGGCTGCTCCACATAGGGTGGCTGCTCCACATAGGGTGGCTGCTCCACATAGGGTGGCTGCTCCACCACATAAGGTGGCTGATCCACATATGGCGGTTCCACATAAGGCTGATCCACATACGACCATCGGTCGACATTCTGAGCATGGTCTGCAAGAGCTCTGGGATCAAAGAGGGCATCTTCAAGACAAATCACTGGCTTTGATGGAAGCTCTCGCTTTGACTGCACAGGGTCTTCCTGGATTTCTTTTTGAAAGTCCTTCTGATAGTTTTGAATTTCTTGAATATCGTGAAATGCCTTTTGAAGTACCCCAATCTGCGAAGCTGGACATGAAACTGCTGGCCGCGAGCTCAAGACATCCTCGGAAAGTGGACTTGCCACATGAATGAAGGTATTGCGAACTTGAACAGCCTCCGGCGGGTAGAGATTCAAGTCCTTGAAACGGGCAGAGCGATTTTCAAAGCCACTCAACACGCACAGCATGTTCTGAAACTTCCATTTTTGGACCAGAAACGTGGCCTTTCAATTCCAATGCTCTCCCCATCTTTGACCCTGAGGCGTTTGGTAATTCGGACAAGTCACGGGTTCTTCCTCAGGAACTGTGATGGCCAAGCCTGCAAACTGCTTAGCGCTGCGTGTAGCCAGCACTTGTCCAGAAGACAAAGACATGGCCGTTGGAGCTCTGGTAGCTACACAGCCGTCTGTGGTGCTTGAGCAAGTGTCCATGTGCCAACTTTTCACACTCCAACAACTCTTCAGCAACTCATCTTCCTTTGTATTCTTGATTGATTTATCTGAATGGAAACAAAGTGCCATGGTGTTCCCTGCCCCCGCATCCTTTCTCGGAGCGCAGGACGCTTGTTCGTCTCAACGCTTGTGCTGAGCACAGTTAATGCACAATCTCCAGAGGTGACACAAATGTTGCCAAATGAGCCTGCCAAAACAACAAACTTAGAGATAAAGACACAAGTCTGGTGTATTCAATCGTTTTCATTCGGCAGGTGAAACACTCACATCGAGCTCCCAAACCCCCTCGCTCCCAAGAGGCTCCTCAAACCTCAACTCAGATGCATGTCAAGCGCTGAAGAGGAACAAAAGACTCTTCTCAGTACAGAGCCTCCATGTTCCTTTACAAACGCCCAAGCCGCACGGATTATCTGCCCGGCCTCGGCTTCGTCTCAAGGATTTGGGGTTCAAAGTGCAATAGTTGCGAAATGAGGGCGGGTTCAAGTCCGACATTGAGGTCGGACAGATCCTATTGAATAGATATGTGTTCATTTGCAACACTTGCGACATAATCTGTAAAAGGGTGGGAGAAGAGCACATAATGCTAGTGACGCCAGCTGAAAATGAAGAACTTCAGACATTCTAGTGTACTTGTGACATCTACAGAACTGGCATGCGAAGCATGTGGGTCACATTGATCCTGTTGTTGCTCAAGAGCATTTTGGTGGTCCACCTAGATTTTGCATCAGGGCATTTAGCACATGCACATGATTGCTTGGGCTTCCCTTTCCCTTCCTGGCTTGAGTGAATGGCTACTGCTCTTATTCTCCTCCACATAGAGAAAAGCACGTTGATGCAAGTTGCAAATGTCCACCATAAAGCCCCTCTTCTTGCTGTGCTATTCTCACTCTCTCGTCTATGCCAAAACTGGATCTCGTTTATCAGGTAGGTCTGAGGGTTCTGGTTGAGATCCATCTCCCTCTGTCCAGAATGGACCTGTGATTTGTCTCAACCCATCTTGTGTGTGTGAGGACATTAGTCTGGTTTGTTGTTGTTGTTGTTGCTGTTGTTGTTTCCCTGGATTCTCGTTGCTGCTCTGTGGTGAGTGTGGGTGTTCTCGTTTGTCGGCTGAAACTGTGCCTTATTAGATTTAAGTCCCAGCCCCATTTTACTTGAGTAAATGCTCACAGTGCCTCACATCCCAACCTTCAGACATGCGCGACAATCTTGAGGAGGTGTGCGCAAAGACGCAAGTGTTGTTGATGTGGTCTTAATGGTGGTGGGCCTAGGTCAAGGTCAGCTTGTCCAGGACAACTCTTATCTAAGTGGCAAAGGTAAGAGTCATGTTTGGTCATGCTCTTGCAATCCGCCCGGCGTTCCATCAGTGAAAGAGTGTGGTTGAGCATAACTTGACTGAAGTATGGAAAAATGAGCTTGACACCTTCGCTTCGTGCAACTAGCCACTACGAATTGGAGAGATAGTTGGCGAGTGGTAGGATGATTTGGGTGTTGTTAACGCCAATGATGAAAGTCACATTGGTACGTATTGGTGGGATCAGAAGCATTATCTGATGTTGGGGTCTTAGTCTGGCTTCTTTCGAGGTTCTCCAACTCTGTGGAGACAGGTTGATGCGCGACTCTCTCCCTCAACTGCAGTGCATAGATGAAAGAGTCGGGTGGTACTATGGTACTGGCAACTATATATAGCCGCTGTGATTCGGCTACGGCAAACGTGAAAAAATGTCTGATCACGTTCTACTAAAACCCTGCGGTGTGGTAGGCACCACCCCCGGAAGCAGCACCTGATAACCGGCATATTTAGCGAACAAGCACATCAAAACAGGGATTTCCTAGTAAAACTGCTCGAAGCACTTCAAACTCAAAAGCTTGAGACACAAGACAAATCTTTTAGAGCCAGTGGCCCGCCCTCCTACCTATATAATTCAGTAGGCACCTACTTAATTTAAGTAAGGAGGTAAGCTACAAGCAATAGGAAGCTACTGCCTACTGGACGCAGGACAGCTCACCCTTCCGCAAGGAAGCTCCCCCCGCCTGAGGGCGGAGGGAGCTTCCTTGAAGAAGCGCTCGCACTGATCATTTGCTTCCGAGATTCTTTAGCGAAACTTAACCTCTATATATGTCTATGTATGTATATATATATATATTACAGTAAACATACACATAAATAAACTCCGAGCTGCAATTGCGTCCCATTCTTGACAGCCTGCCGGATTCGCTTCGCTGCAGTTTCAGCCTCGGAGATCCATCGAGACAAGAATTGTGTTTGTGTTTGTGATCCAATCCAGCTCTTCTTGAGGTCTTTCAAGGGAATATCCTCAGCGTCTCGTTGTCAACATGCTGTTCTGACCAAGTCCTTTGCTCCAAGCATCAGACACCTTGAGCGTCGCAAAGTGCAACTAGCGAGGTCTTAATCGAACTGAGCTGAAAAACTAGGGGCCTGAGTCTTCATTGAGACCCATCCTCCACTGTTAATAGCTTGTTATAGCCGTGTGGGCGCAGCTAGCACTGATCACGCTACAGCACATGACCAGCCACCCACATAGTATTCTCACTTGCCGAATTCGAGCGACCGAACAAACTCCTTGGCTGTTGGGTCCCAAATTCTGGCATGCCTGATGTGTAAGGCAGCGGCCACCTGACTACTACATGCATTCTTGCACTACATGCACATTGAACTCTACGTCTCACACCATCACGCACCTCCTCTAAAGGATGCCTTCTTGGCTTTCTGGCGCCTCTTCTTCTCGCCGCGATCACAAAGGTGGCAAAATTGGCACATTGCACCATTGTTGCAACCTTTGGCGTGCAAGAAAGCGCATGGTCTGCAGTCACCCACATAGTGACCCTTCGAGCCAATGCTTGGCAATTCCATTGAGCCTGGTGCAGGTTCAAAGGGCGCCGGCACTGATGGTGGGACCATGGGCACGTCGCTCACCGGAACCCCAACATGGGCGCGTGCCACTGGTGCTCCGACAGGGCCTAGGCCAGGGCCTAAGCCTGCTGGGGCTGCTGGGCCTAGGCCTGCGCCTGCTGGGTGTGGCCCTATTGGCCCTGAAGGGCTCAGGTTTTGCACTTGGGCTTTGCTGAAGCTTTGAGCAGGCGAGGTGACTGGGTGTGAGTGTAGCGGCGCAGATGGTCCAATGGTACCCACCGACGGTCCTGTTGATGTGGGGGTGAGAGATGGCCCCACGGTCTGGCCTATCGGCCCCAAAGATGCCCCCACAGTGTGTGTGATTTGTGAATACGACTGCCCTGCCAAAGGGCCCAAGGGAAGCTGCCATGGTTTTGTCTCCGAGTAGTCCACTGGCAAAGTCGAGAGAGGTGCAAGGCTTGTGTATGGCTCCGGCGTGCCAGGTGCAGCATCAAACAAAGCATCCTCCAAACATATCACTGGCTTTGAACGCGGTGGCTCTTCGTCCTCCTAGCAACAAGTGGAGGATTCTTTCCAAACTAGAAAAGTCCTGTTTCGCAATGCCCATTCCTACACAACCTAGGAACCACATGAATAGTGCGAGCGCTTCAGGAAACCCACCGAGGAAATGCACCGAGAAGGCTTCCTTGAAGAAGCATGAGCTTTCCAGCGTCCAGCTACTAGAAGCTAACTAGTCGCCCTGAGTTTACTCCCCGACTTGATTAAGTAGGCGCCTACTTAATCAAGCAGGGAGGGAGGGCCATGGGCTAGAAAAGTCTAGATAAGTTTCCCTAAAATCTGACAACCAAATCATTCGTGCGAGCGCTTTCCTGTGTCCTACTAGAAGCTAACTTAGCCTAGTAGCTACCTAGTCTCTAGTTACTTAGCCAAAAAAAGTGTCAAGATGTGACGTCTCTGTCGATGTGTCCTCCTCAAAGAGGCTTTCGAGCATGCAACCAATGTGGCTTGCTGGACAAGAGACAACCGCGGGGCGGTTTGCATCTTCTGGTGCACTGGGGCTGGCTACATGAATGAACGTGTTGCGTACTTGTACAGCTTCGGGCGGATAGGCTTCCTTGGGTTTCAAGCGTGTGCATTGCACAAAAATGTGCGACACAAGCGGTGGAGTTGCAAGTACAGTACTGTCTCTGACTCAGCCATGACTCTGTGGATTCCTCTGAAACAGAAATCTGCATGTGTCCTGACATTCCGAATCTGTTGAGAGCTGCCGGTGCTTCTAGAGAGCAAGCTGAAAATGTCGAAACTTCGTCAAGAGTGGTAGGTGACATTCAGCGAGCAATCCTTGGTTGGACTCCAGATACTCCAGAAACATGGATGAAGCCAGTCAATGGGTCAGGACTTTAATAAGGATGATCTTTTATTGTGATTTTATTTTTTTGTGGTCTGTGTGGTTCTCAATTCAATGGGAAAGGCATTACAAGTAGAGATTTTGTCTAGAAGAGTCATCAAAAGCAAAAGATGCAATAGAAAACTCATCAAAAGAGCGATTTCAATATACATATATATATATATAGTGTGTATACATATATATATATATGTCATAAAAAATAGCAATTTTACCAGAAATTTTATCAAAAGTAGAGATTGTAATGGGTCAAAATGACAGATTTTGATTATATAGTAAAGAGAATTCAATAGACAATTCATCAAACATGATTCCGGAGAAAGGTTATCAAAAGTAGACATTCTAAGGGGAAAGGCATCAAACGTAGAGATTTTGACTAGAAAAGTGCATCAAATGTAGGGATTTTGACTAGGAAAGTCCTTAAAACAGAGAGTTTACTGTAATAGAGACTTCAATAGATAAGTCAAACAAATAGAGATTCGATAGAAGGGGCATCACGATAGAAGTGTCTTCCATTATTTTGCTACTGGTGCTCCTGGGTCAAGTGTTGTTTTGGTATGGATCGGTTTCCCCTAGACAGAGCTGAGCCCCATTCTCAAGGCGAGGGCCCCTCTCTAAGAAAAAGAGATAGAGAGGGAGAGAGAGAGAGAGAGATTTAAAAATAAAAGTTAATGCTCATAAAGAGCGGGAGGGGGCGCTGAAAGGAGGTGCGGGGGAGGGCGCAGCGCCTCCCCCGCAATGAACACAAAGTATAGTGCAGCGCCTCCCACGCAATGAACACAAAGTATAGTGAGCATCCCGGCACTGAAACCAAAACCTCGAGAGTTGTGGGGGCGCGGGGGAGGGCTGGGTGAGTGTTCAGGTGAATCCGTGACAGAGAGAGGGGAAGAGTCAGGAAAGTGAGTGGTTAGATTCGATGAGTGAGTGAATGACTGCGTGAGCGCATGAGTGAAGAGAGAAAGGAATCAGTGCGACAAAAAAGAAAAAGAAAGAGTGAGAGAGACAGGGACAAACGAAAAAGTTAATGATCACAACGAGCGGGAGGGGGTGCTTACTAGAAAACCCATTGAGATTTCAATAAGAGAAATATAGTAATAGATGTCATAGAAAGTAGAGATGCAAGCCACAAAAGCCAAAACCCAAAACCCACACAAAAGCCAAAAGCCACAAAAGCCACACAGAAGCCACAAGCGACAAAAGCCAAAAGCCACACAGAGGCCAAAAGCGGCAAAAGCCACAAAAGCCAAAAGCCACCAAAGTCAGAAGCCACAAAAGCAACAGAAGCCCAAAGCCACCCAACCACTAAATCCCTCTTAAAATCACCCTCCACAGTCAATCATGGGGGGCTTCCTCCTGAACCGAAAAAAAAAACGCAAAAATGCAGTCAAAGCAAAGACAAGCATCAGCACCGCAGTGTCCTGGCCCTGCCGGACTAGACCGAACTATATAAGTCTTTGGATACTTCTCCGGTATCTTTAAGCTGAGCACAGCTGAATGGGCCAAAGTCAGCCAATCACCAAACATGCAAATCCGCAACTATGCCATAGTAACTGTGTTTGTCTGCAGGTTTGAAAGAAATGAATCCCTTGTCTAAAACCAATCATGCCACGCAATGACAGTCTGTATGGCCACGTTAGTTCGTCAAAAAGGATAAAGTGCTTCTGAGGTATCACACAAGCTCCACTTTCCTCTCCCAGTTTCTTTTTTGTGCCTCACAGTTGTGTCAAGGGTTGCTGGGTTGAGAATCCAGAAATGAACTGCCTCTAGCTCGTAGGCCTCAGCCTTTTGGCTGACATAGTCAACCTCAGACTTAGAGACTTTCGTTTTGTCCCACTTTTGAGACAAAACGTTCCGATTCCAAGAGCCAAAGGTGTCGACCACTTGCGGCATTTCTGGAGACTGTCTTGACCTCCAAAGAAAAAACGAACACACAAATCATAAATGAAAGAAAAAACGAACTGTAACTGTTTCTGCATCTGATTTTGAATGAGATGTTGTATATACATATGTATCTTGCAATTATGCATACATGCATGGCCGAACTATATAAGTTGAGGGAGTGGCTGTGCTCGGAGCTTCTTGTGCTCTTTGCGTGCTGCTTCTTTCTCCTTGCAAAAAACGAAGAGAAAGCTGAGAAAGTCCACCACGATTTTTCGATAGTCCTCCACAACTTTGACAATGTCATGCTCCGTCTTTGCAAGCATGGCTTTGCGCTCTTTGATTTCATCTTCCAGAAACTTTGCCTTGCAAAGAGCAAAATAGAATTGATCAAAACAAAATATGTATATAAGCTGCAGCTGCTCTATTCATTTTCATGGAAATAAATAGTGATGCACGACGTGCCTCGGCTGTGAGGCTACTGAGTTTCTTCTTCATATTATTCAGGATCTTGACCTCAAGGTCACCGCTCATAGGTTTGTAATCACACGCCACGTCTTGAGAGACTGACAGTTCGTCCAGCCCTTCGTTTCAATTCAATAAGCTCCTGGAAAAGAAGCTCGGGGCCGATGTCAACACAAAGCGGTGAGATGTCTATCTGTCCTGATTTGCTTCTTCAATCCGCTTTACGAACTGTGAATTCTCTATCTGGAGTTGATGAAAGTCCTCGGTTTTAGAGGAAACTGTGACAGTAAAATCTGAATTAATGCCATCAATGGGTCATGTGCCCTGTATGTGGGAAATCGTCTTGGGCCATTTTTGAGGTGTCAGCAATGTATTGCAAATCGTCGCCAGTCTCCGCCTTCGATTTGAGCTGGGCCTCGGCCTGCAAGTCTCACAAGGGAACTAACTTCAATCTACGTCACACTTACACTTACCATCATGTGAAGAGTCCTTCCTTTTGCTATGCTGTTCAAGGACGTTCTCACAGCGCCTTTTTGATAGCCACCTTGTAGGCCTGATTCTTCATTAGGAGCTTGTTGATCTGCATATCCTCCGTGTCTGATGGCCGCAGCTTTGCAAATTCATGCGCATCATAAGCACCCTTTGCAAATTCATCTCATCCCTTTGCTCAGGGTCCTTTTGCGTCAGTTTGTCTTCCATGTACTTGAGGACCTTGCAAATTAAGAAATGAGGAAGGGCACGCAAAGGGCACATGTGAATGTTTGTAGACAGCCCATTCCAATCACAGCAATGCCTGCCTTGCCTTCTCGGCAATTGTCTTGCCAGTTCTAGGGTTTTCAGCGCCAACAACAATGTCTCGCCTGACACACATGATGAGCTGCAAGAACGAAGATGTTGCATCCACATCTTTACCCGTTGATCTCAGAGTAGAAAACTTCAATGGATGCTTTGGCATGCTACGGCTACAGGGTGTCTCTGCTGCTGTGCAAATTCTGGCAATGTGGCCGGGAACCAAAAACGACAAAAACCAGTTGCCGATGAATGGAACAGGTGGAGAACTACAAGCGGAGCTTTCCGCTGACAGGCTGACATGCGACATGTGCTTTGTTTCCCTTGTTCAAGGTCAAGCAAGCTAATTTGTCTTTGTATTCCTGGGGAGACCAGTCATCCACTTTGCACACGTGGGTCGCCTTCATGTATCCGAGCAACTGGAGTTTTGTCCTCGCATCTGAGCAGTCCACCACACAAGAGAGGCTGAGGTTTCTTCCCATGTGGTTGCTGTAGGTGGGGCAGGGGTTTTGTCAGCGTCGATCAAGGTGCAGTCTCTGCGTCCTTTCATTTCATAACTGAGCATTCTCTTGACGTTGCGTTTCGGCTGTATGCCATAAGAGCCAACGCACCTGAAGTTGCTGCTGAGTAGAGTCATCGGCTAGGTCTTTCAAGTCGTGAAGCCATCTTCTTGAAATCATTTTTGCAATCGGAAATGATAGTTCAGAAACAAAATTGAGATATAGCAAGGTGCACAGGTTCCTCATCTAAAACCTAAAAATGTTATTTACATAGGACCGGAATGGTTGTTGGGGCAAACAACTTCTTCAAGGTCCGACGGTCCGATTTCTATGCGGCGTTTTCCCGAACATCGTTACCCGCAACCCCCACCAGCTGATTTTAGTTTGTAAGTCGGCGTTTTCCGATGCTAATTTGCGCTGGTTAGTTAAAGTGTTCTGAATGGTCGGTTTCTGAATTGTAGTTTCCAACCGTAGTTTTTGAATCGTGGCTTCTGAATCGGTTCCAAGTCGCGGTTTCCGAATCGCGGAGTCTGAATCGGAAATTGTTCTTTCTTTCACCAGAAACTTGCTTGATTACTGAATCAGAAAAAGCTAGCCGCAGCTGCATCTTCATATTACAGTAACTTGTGACTTGCAGTGATGAATACTTTTTGAAAACAACGCCACGGGAGGTTCATTCGAATGGATTCACAAACAAAAGAAAAATTCGAACAAAACCTGGCCTGCTTCAGCACAATCCAGCAACAGGGCACACTGACTTGTACTCCAGTCACAAGGCTCAGAACGAGCCAATGGAGTAGTAAGTAGTACATACCACTATGTATATATATATATATGATGTACATGCACACTCTGTCTGCATAATACCATGGACCGTAACATTGTTCATTGCACACGAGGCTCGACATCCACCTGGCCTGAATTCATAGGCATCGCGCTTCACTTCTGCTATTCGGATGTCTGTTTCCTGGTGCGTTGCCCAAAACTCCAGATTGCAGCACAAACACTGGACCAAATGCAAAGGCTCCTCCATCAAAGCTTTCAGAATGTCCAAATTTTGGTCAGATGTCAGCTTCGTCTGTGCCTGAGTCGTTGCGACATGTTTAGGTCTCACTGTCTCAAACAATCTTCAACTGCGGGCAACAGCAGTCCCATTGTTTTGAATTGCGCTGCATTCAGAAAGGCAATGAGAGCACTTGGAAAATTGAGCTGAAGGGATCATGGATCCGGCACAAATGAAGAATTTCTCCACCCATGCTTCTTTGTCCACGTCCCAGGTTGCTCCAGGCCATTAACCAAAATAAGATTCAGTTCAAGCAATGTTGCTTTGCGGGTGACACACGCACACACAAGTCCTGTCTTTCAGCTTGAAGCTCAAGGTCAGGCATGCTGCCCTTGAATAGATTTGTACAAGTCCAAGGACCGGCTCCATGATTCTTCTGAAAGCCCGTCCGGCAAATGGACTGCAGCGATTCCCAGGGACCTGGATGCCATCGAATGAATGCACTCTGAGAGTGTCAAAAGCAGCAGCACAGCAACCAAGAGTTCCTTACCAAGTCCGCCGAAACTGTGCCAAACACCACTATGCAACTACAGTAACTACAGGGTGCAGCGAGATTCAGATATTGGAAGTGCAATCCGTGTTGTACCATGTACCTTCAATATGTTTCAATATGTCCCCGTACAAGGCGGGCTGAACAGGCCCTCAAACAGCAATGGTCCAGGAATCCAAAACCCCACACCAAAGAAACAGAGCTAGACTAGGAACAAGTGCATCGCTACTAGTAACAAGTGCCTTACTAGTAGTAACAAAGTGCCACGCTACTAGGAACAGGTGCCTTACTAGTAGTAACGAGTGCCACGCTACTAGAAACAGGTGCCTTACTAGTAGTAACAAGAAGCTATTAGTAACAAGTGCCACGCTAGTAGTAACAGGTGCCTTACTAGTAGTAACAAGAAGCTATTAGTAACAAGTGCCACGCTAGTAGTAACAGGTGCCTTACTAGTAGTAACAAGAAGCTATTAGTAACAAGTGCCACGCTAGTAGTAACAGGTGCCTTACTAGTAGTAACAAGAAGCTAGTAAATACAATTTGACGCAAAAGAGCAGGGGCCGAAGGGCTGAAAGGAGTCCAACGTTCCACGGAACATGGTATTCTGACTAAACCCTAATGGTACTTTAGGTTGTGTTTTTTGGGTTTCCCTTTGGGTTCTCCTACATTGGTTTTGAAATGGTTTTCTGTGTTTCCACATGGTGTTCCTGTGTTTTCTTCTGGCTTTAATTTGCTTTTCCTAGGTTTTCCTCTGCCTCCTTCTAATTCAAACGGACTCTCTCCTCTTTCCAACACTCTCTATATGTAGAGCCTCTGATAATTCTGTTTATTTAGACATCAAAAAGTCTATCATGGACTCGCTGAACTCTCTTCTCTTTACAAGACTCCTCTATATGTATATAGAGCATCTGATAATTGTGAGTCTTTGGACATCCAAAAGATAGATATATAGGTAGGTAGGTAGGTAGGTAGGGTAGGGTAGGGTACGGTACGGTACAGTATGGTACGGTTAGGTTAGGTTAGCTTAGCTTAGGTTAGGTAGGTAGGTACTGTAGGTAGGTAGGGTGGGGTAGGGTAGGGTAGGGTGGGGTGGGGTGGGGTAGGGTGGGGTAGGGTGGGGTAGGGTGGGGTAGGGTGGGGTAGGGTGGGGTAGGGTAGGGTAGGTAGGTAGGTAGGTCGGTGGGTGGGTAGGTAGGTAGGTAGATAGATAGATACCACTGTTGCGGGGTTTTGCAGGACACATGAATGTTTCCGAACAAAGCCATGTTGAATGCCAGAAACCATCCAAAGCCAAAACCCACAAAAGCCACAAGAGCCAGCCAAAAGCCAAAAGCCAAGCCACAAGGAAGAACTGAAAAGAATCCTTATAATCAAAAAGAATGAAAGAAGGTGACAAAATGCGATGAAGGAAGGAATTAAGGAAGGAATCCAGGATTGCACAATCACTGGATTTTCTCAACCTGCAATCACAAAAGACCATGACTAGACTAGACCGGCAGCAAACCTTCCGGGAAAAAAATACAAATAAAAGTAACTATATATATATATATAATGAATTATCACTCTTCGGAAAATAGAAAAGAAACCAGCATCCTTTCTACAGATTTGTTTTTTTGACCCACTTTTGAGGATGCTTCAAAAGAACCGAGTTCACCAATAACCTACAGTGCTCTTCTTCGTAGCCATTCCTTCAACTGGCCTCACAGACTCGATGTTCTTGGCTGAATCATCCACAAACAAGACTTCAGTCGGCGCAACGCCCGATTTGGACAGCAAGGCCTCGATTGAACATGTGTGCAGCACTGCACACAAGTGTCACAAGTGTCACAAGTGTCACAAGTGACAGGCAGTGTTTAAGCAAAACAAGTGTAAACATGTGTAGGCGCGTGCAAACCACACAAAATAGGCAGCGATTTAAAAAAGAAAAAAGGATGGTACCGGCACCTTCCTTTGCAAAGAGAAACATCGTGAAAAGTCAGACCTCCAGGTGTGGCCTTTTGTACTCACCCCGCCGATAGTACATTTCAAAAAGCCTGGATAGGAGCAAAGACAAACACTGAAGAAGCATGGATGACACATGTGCCTGGACCGAAGATGCACAATGAATAGGTTGCTAGACGAGAACATTGGAACAGGCAAAATTGTACAGCAATGTCACACCTCCGATCCACAACATCCATCATTGAGATGCCACTGGATACTTCCATGGTCTCGAGCAAAGGCAAAGCTTTGTGCCTTCGTGAGCTACCTGACTTGGCAACTTCGACATTTCTTTCCGGGTGTCCAAGATCCAAACCTCTCCTGTGTGCAAAAAGGAGCAAATTTGGACACCAAACCGAGAGGCTCAGAATTCTGCTCCAAGCCACTTGCCACGGCAACTCGAACTCCAAGCGAGCGGAGGGAATAAAGCCTTGGCTTTTGCTGATAGTGAACACACTTGGTTGCCTTGCCATGACAGCTCTAAACCAAGACACTTGAGAAAGAGCGAGAATTCTGGGTGGATCTCGGTGAACACACAAACTCTATTTTGATAGAATTGCAAAAAGCTGCAGTGAGACCCTTTTTCGAGCTGATCTTGAAGGCGCTTCTGTACTTCGAAAATGGTGTCCACTTCTGCAACGATGGCAGAAAACTGATATTCCGTTCGTGTGTATGTACATTGCAGAAGAAAGGTCGGTTACCCCAACTGATTGTCGAGTGCTTGGCCCTTGGCTGCTTCAATTCTCCCATGGATCAGAATCACGCACGTACCAAAAGTAGGTCACCATTGGGGCAATGAAGGCACCGACAAACAGAATGCCAAAGACACCAACATACTCATCAAATTTGGCATTGAACTTCTCGTCGGCTTTGATAAATTTTTCATCATCAATGAAATCTTTCTTTTTCGCCCCAGCCTTCATGGTGTATGTTCCTTCGAGTCCGCCACCAGCTTTTCCTCCCATGGAAACCGGCAAGTCCTCAGCCAGCACAATGTTGGATGAGTCCATGAGGCCGTTCGGTGTGTTCACCATGTCGGCAAGAGTACCATCACTTTGCACTCCGGCTGCCAAAGCCCCTGCCAGGGCCGCTGCTCGCAAAGGTGCAACAAATGTTCGAGGTGCCCACGCCAAGAAAGCGCTGAGAGCAATCAGCGCTCCAAGCTTCGAAGTGCGCCGGCGCATTGGCATCATGCTCTACACGGCAAGTCTACACCCAATGCTGTCGGAAAATGAATACTGCAGAGGATGACATTCACCAATTCATCAAAGTTCACGGCCTTCACAATAGCAACTTAAGGATCCCTTGTGCCTTGTGCATTACTTTTTATAGGAACATGTTTCATGCCCTGATCAGTGTTCATTCGACATCTTACTTTTTCTATGATAGACAAGGAGCAATGACCAAACACGCTGCACAGCTGGGAAGAGTCGTATCTCCTTTCAAACCATCTGATAAGAGTGCAAGCTTCGCTGTGCATGCATTCTTCCTCTTTCTGCTTCCACGAACTGTCCTCTCCAGCAGAGTTTCTCACAACACCATCGGAGATTCTGCGATATGGAGGCCCTCCTATTGTCTGATACCTGCATGTCGTAGGCTCGAGGTTCGACAAAGTGTAAGCTTATCATAGCACCGCTGATCTGTACAGTGGTCAAACGCATTGCCAGGTCAACAAAAAAGATCTGAGGTGCCCGCATTTCTGGACTCCAACAAACCTTGACAAGCATGCCCATGCTTGGGACAGCTTGCAGTCGGTTTATATAGCGGCTTTGTGTGCCAAGAGACTCCGTCAAGGTCAAAAACCATCAACCGTGGCAAGTCTTGAATGTCTTCCTGACCGTCAAGGTCAAACTGCTGACAATTGCCTTGCTACCTGAGGTGGATTACAGTATATTATCCGCCGAGCCCGGCTCAGCGAGTGCCCAGGCGGGCAGCGCCTGGGACACCGAAGGTTGCAACGTGGGAGGTGCTTTGCATCAGAGACAGAGCGGCCCCTCAGCGTCTGGCACCCTGCCCAAGCCCTTTTGGGCGCACAATTCAATGGAGGAAAGCTGTGGCCGCACCTCCTTTTTTGGCTTCGCTTTGCTTCTGGTTTAGGGCTCCTACCTGCTCTGCCTCTGGCCCCTCTGGTCTAGAGCTCCTACCTGCTCTGCCTCTGCCTCCGCTTTTTCGCTTCGCTTTGCCTCTGGTCTAGAGCCTCTACCTGCTCTGCTCTGGCCCCTCTGGTCAAGAGGCGTCCGGCGGTACCTCCGCTTTTTGGCTTCACTTTGCCTCTGGTCTAAAGCCCCTACCTGCCCTGCCTCTGGCCCCTCAAGCTTTCTTTACGGGGTTTCGAAGTTGGCGTCTGGCACCCTGCCCCCAGCCCTTTTGGGCGCAGAATTAGATGGGTGAAAGCCGCGGCGGTACCTCCGCTGCTTGGCTTCGCTTAGAGCTCCTACCTGCTCTGCCTCTGCCTCCGCTTTTTGGCTTCGCTTTGCTTCTGTTCTGCTCTGCCTATGGCCCCTCATTTTTTGGTGGGTTTCGAAGTTCGTGTCTGGAACCCTAACGCAGAAATGCGAGGACTTTGCGTCTCGTCTGCCTCGGGCGTCTGCTCTGCGTCTGGGCCCCCATGCCTTTTTCTATTAGGTTTCGAAGCTGGCGCCTGCCGTCCAGCACCCTTTCCTTTCATTTGATCTGGCTGGCTACAAGGCTCTTGGCATTCTTTCCGGTAGAAATGCTGCCATTACTGCAACGCTGTTCGGACAACTGCAGCAAGGGAGCCTCAAGACTTGCTCTTCACTGCACGCGGCAAAGTAGCGAGCCATCACAGCACGCTACACGCCAAAGAAGTCAGGAAGAATAGGGGACCCATCAGCGACGCTTCACTTTAAGCTCATGGCCCGGTTCCTCGCCCTTTCGAACGTCGACTGAGAATAATCTATATACTGTACATTGATTTGTAGGGTAATCAAATCACCCAAGTGTATATCCGGATTTGTTGCACATCGCAGATCTCCACGTGGTCCCCGACTGCACCGCGTCAACAATCTATGAGCTTGTTCAGGGTCGAGGGAACAAGGAGGAGTATTTGCAAGACCTTTACAAAGACTACCGAGCGTGGCGCAACACTAACAGCGCCTGGGCTTATACAACAGTTCAAGAAACACTGCCAACTACTATGTTTTCTTTGTAGCGCCCGTATTAAGGAATGCGAGACTTGCTCCACATAGGGGTCAGCGGCATGAGCCCGTCCGCTGGTGACTTGAGGTGGTGCGTGCACTTTAAGAACTGTTCGAGTTGACTTTGAATTCCCACCTATTGGTTGACAAACGCAAAGTCGCCTCCGCATACACGCATCCCCCCCACGGGCATCGCCGGTTGGCGAAGCCTGTCAGTATATACACATACAAGTTCCACGAGCTTGCGCTGCAACAATTCATTGCAGCCACGATTCACTGCTCTCTGCCAATTGCTGCCTTGTCAGTCTCACAAAATAACTTGAACTTGGGGCTTTGGGCATGCTATATTGCCTTTCAAAGAAACAGCACTGCTTTATAAGACCCGCTCAAGCAACGCCATCTCAACTAAGAAGCTCCGAGTCGTCTCTCTGCGAGGCTCTCCAGCCCAGCACGCGTAAAGCATCCTCTGGAACTGCAGCTCCTAAGGCATTGCATTTTGTCATGACCAAAGTACAGGCAGCGAAATGAAAGGCTCAAGTATCGCCACAGAGTTTCTGGGTAAACGAAGTTTCCAAATCCCTGGTCGACCTGAGGTTCTTGAGTGCACGCGCAACACATTTTGAAGTTTTGATCTTCGGCTAAAACAACACCATGATACGGTGTCTGTCACTCAATCACAATGAGACTTCAGAATCATTTGCAATCTACTCTTAGGTTCTTCTCTCAGACAGAACTGCTGAGGGGAATGCCTTGAGCTCTCAAAGGTGATTTCAACCACCATGCTCTGCGAATGGGCGTGGCCCATTTCCCCACCACCTCGCATCTCGCTTCAGAAACTGGTCCGCGCAACTTCTCACCCCGCCTCCGAAACTACAGACTTCTGCACGTCAGGTAGCCTACTAAACAGGAGCGGCGGTCACTGGTCAGCTTCTAAGCAACTAGCAAATACCCCAGCCAAAAATTCACAACCCGCATCCACTTGTTTGCACCCAGCGCGGAATGCATGTGAGTTTAAAATTTGAAAATGTTGAGCATCTAAACCCAAACGAATGATCGGCAGTCACTTTTGAGCAAGGCAACACAAAAGTTACGAGCAAGCTTCTGAAAAAGCTAATGTTGCTGAGAGAAGCATCCCTCCGCGCGTTTGTTTGAATGTTGCTTGTCAAGCTGATGAGCTGCAAAAAAGCTTTTGAGAAGTCACCACTAAACATTAAGCATAATGGCATAGCATTTGTAATCCGCCGACCCCTGCTTACCCCAAGCTAAGCAGTGCGTTTGGGACACCGCAGGGTGGAACGGTCGCCTGTGAGCATGGGATGCCTCTGTAAGTTCTAGGCCTGGCACTGGGCTTCGAAGCTGCTGTCTAGGCCAAGGCTGTGACTGGCCGCGGCTCTCCCGGCCATAGCCTTCGTGTTTTTTACCCTCGTTCTGATTGATTTTTCGCGGTGTTCTTCTTGCCCTTCTTGTATTTGTGGCTGGTGGCCACTGTGGTGGCCACTGTGGCGCGAACGTTGTCAATGCTTTGCGCTAAACTTCTGCAAGCCAGGGGCATTGTCGCGGCTGCGCCTGCGTAGTGAGAGGCGTTGTCACGCTGGTGTTGGAGGGGGTCACTGTCTAGGAGCTATCCGGAGTCAACGCGGGCGCGTGTGTGTGTGTGTGTGTGTGCGTGTGTGTGTGTGTCACCTCCTGCTTTCAAGGAGAATGACCACTTTGTTGTAATCCACTATTCCATTTTAACCCCTACTATTTCCTTGTACAGATTAGCAGGAGGCAGTGATCCTTTCAGCAGACACTGCCCAACAAAGACACTGCTGATCGGATGTGATATTCAGAGAGGACGCTCTCTGAGCGTACCTGTACCAATTTTTACACTTCCGGTTGCGACGTTCACAAGCTGTAACCCCAATCTCCTTGTACAGGGCTAACGCGTCTTTGTTAAACTTGTCTGTTGTCGCGGACCCAATCACCTTACCGTTCTGCAAGTCAAGCGCTAAGTACTCAAATTCATCTAAAGGGCTAGCGCGCTGGAGTTCAAAACTGATTTAGCTCTTGCGAGCATGGGTTTCGCAACAGGGTCCCACTGAGGTCTGACGCGTGATCCCAGCTTTCGTCTTGCTTGCTCAATTCTTGAAGATTTCTCATTACTGCTCGAATTGCTGCTATTAAGCTGGAGAGCTCACTGACAATACCTCACAGAATGACATACCATAAGTAATCGTTGTACAGAGATGTCTTGCTTTCTTTCTTTCGGCTTCTCTTCGTTTTCTAGGGCTTCTTTCGTTTCTGATGGCTTTTAATGCGTAACTCAGGTTTTAGTCGAGGGTGCGCCGGATTCGGCTTTCTGGCCAGCGCCTTCGGGCCTTTCACCCCCACCCCACACGCACCCCTGCACCCCTTTCTTTCCTTGGTGTCTTTCGTTCGTTTGGACTTTTCTTCAGGCTGGTTAGGTCGTCGTTTAAACTCGCTTAGTTGACGCACCCCAGTCCACACCCTCCCCCCGCTTTCTGTCCTGCTTTCCTTTCTCTTTCTTGGCTGTTCTTTGTTCTAGGGGCTCTTTAGGCCCTTTAGGTTTGTAACAAGGATTTTCAGTCAAGCGCCAATTTTTCCCACGGCGCGCCGAATTCGGCATTGTGACCTCCTGTTTCCAAGGAGAATGACCACAATCCACTATTCTATTTTAACCCCTACTACTTCCTTGTACAGATTAGCAGGGGGGCAATGATCCTTTCAGCAGACACTGCCTAACAAAGACACTGCTGATCGGATGCGATATTCAGAGAGGGCGCTCTCTGAACGTACCTGCACCAATTTTTGCACTTCCGGTTGTGAAGTTCACAAGCTGTAAACCCAACCTCCTTGTAAAGGGCTATCGCGTCTTTGTTAAACTCTTGTGTTGTCGCGGACCCAATCACCTTACCGTTCTGCAAGTCAAGCGCTAGTGCGCTGGAGTTCAAAACTGATTTAGCTCTTGCGAGCATGGGTCTAAAAGTGTGTGCGCGTGTGTCTGCGGCTGTGGTCTGCTTCAACGACTTCAAGCGAAAACTATGCTGCGTACACGATGTGGGTGCACTTTGTGTGGAAGCAATGGCCTTATTAATGTTTTTGTTGTCGTTCTTATTCTTTTTCGCGTTGTTCTTGTTGTCGTTCTTGTTGTTGCTGCTGGCGACCATTGCGGCGCTAACGTCGTGGCGGTGTCACCTCGAGGTTGCCAGGTAGCCCACCACTACTTGGAGCAAGTAAGACAAAGACAGCGCTTACGCAGCGCATCCTGCTTCTCCAGCAGGTGTCTCCAAATATGGGTCGGCAGCGCCCGGGTTTAGCCCATTCAAAACCGGGCGCCGGCGTCCGCGTTTCGCCCGGAGGACCTTCGGTGCAACCGAAGGTTATTTAAGGGCTGACGCCCGACAGCCGGCCAGGGGCCCACCACGGTCGTTGTTGTTGTTGTTGTTGTTGTCGTCGTCGTCGTGGTCGTTGTTGAGGCTACGTTGGCCATCTTGGGCCGATGTTGGGTCATCTTGGGGACCTCTGTTGGAATATCTTCGGGTACATTTTGCACAATATTTGTTGCAACGCGCCCATCACCCAAATAATTCCGATTACGCACGTCCGCGCGGCGCGCATTACCGACACCACCCCTGTAAAACCCACAGTTTTTGCGTTTCGCACACAAAACCTGCAAAACACAGGCTTTTTTGAACATCACGCGCAAAAAACACTGTAAAACACAGGGGCGTAGGCAGCGACGTAGGTCTAACCCCCTGGGCCCTGTGAGGAACAGTGTGTTTTACAGTGTTTTCTGCGCCTCATGATCTTCCATGTCCATCCAAAAACATCGGCCTTGAAACGCCCAACATATCCCCAAGACGGGCCAACATAGCCCCAAGATGGGCCAACATAGGCCCAAGACAGGCTCAACTTGGGCACAAGATAGGCTCAACATGGGCCCAAGATGGCACAACATAGGCCCTAGCTGGGCCAACATAGGCCTTAGATGGCCCAACACAAACCCAAAATGGTCCCAACATCGCCCCCACACCGCCCCACGTAGCCCAAAGATGGTCCAACATAGGCCCTAGCTGGGCCAACGTGGCCCAAGATAGGCCAACATAAGCCCATATGCCCAACCTAGCCTCAGGATGGGCCAACATAGCCCCAACATGGCCGGCGCCCGGCTGTCAGGCGTACGCCTTTAAATCCGGCGACACCGTCCCGGTCAACATATCACTGGCTCCTCGTCAAAAAACATCAAAAATGGTCACTGTAAAGCTTATAGCTTCAAAACCCCTTGAGCATAAGCCATTGAAAATGAAAACAAATTTTGTGGAGAAATTTTGGTCGAGCATCATTAGCATCAGCAAAGTCTCAGCAGGAAAGATGCAAATCCTTTGGTGCATGGCCACGCGCAAAACACTATAAATTGTAGTGTTTTTGCAAAATGTATGTAGTTTATGAGCAATGCTGCTCGTACTCTGGTGACGCCAATGGTGCTCGACACAAATGCTAGCTCAAAACTTCCTCTCCCCTTTGCGTACTTTCTTCTCTGGGGATGAAGCTTTACAGTAGACATGCTTGATCATTTTTCTCTGCTTTTTGCAACTTTTGATGAAAATACATACGTCCTGGTGATGTTCAAAAAGTCGGTTGGCGGGCGCGGGCGCGAGTGTCTGAAGCTGAGGTTGCCAGGCTTTTTACATCAGACCCTCGTGCGCACACCTGTGTGGGAGTGTGTATGCGCAGGTCTAAGAAGCTGCGCTAATCGTCGATTTTTTGCTGTGCAAAGAGCCTGCGGATATGCGCAGTCCCCCCAAGGTGTCGCCGGTTGGCGAAGCCTGTCAGTAAAGCTACCGAAAATGGGCGTTCTGCGGAAACAACACACTGACGAGGGGCCTCATCTCTTCCTCCGAGTACCTGTCAATGCAGCTTTGCTGCTAGGCCCTCCTCAACCCTTCAAAACAAGCGGATCACTGATAGGTCTTCTCCAAGTCAAGCAGGCCAAGAACCTGACAGACGCACAGCTGATAAACTCACACTCACGCCAAACTTTGAGGCGGAGATAGGCAAACACAAAAAGCCTATCCAACAGGGCACACCACACCGCCAACCCCGCCGCACCCTCCACCAACCAAATATGGAGGCCCGCAACAAACCTTATCTGTAACGCATCAGCGCATCACCCACATCACGTCCAAAAAACGCATCAGCGCATCATCCGCATCATGTCCGTAACGCATCATGCAACCCCCCCCCCCCCCCCCCCCACCCCCCCTGGAAGCACGCATCATGAGCCATCGAAAAATTTGCCTTTCCGGGCAAACCCCCCGTTTACCCATCATATTACATCCACATGTTGGGGAAGTGGGCAGAAGACTTCGACTGACTTGGAGCAAACAGAGGTTTTGAGCTACGGGCCACTTATGAAATCTGGACTCGGAATCTGTGTCTTTGCAGTTGAGTTCAAAGGGCAGTCTTCTGTATTCACTCCATTATCCCATGGGCCCGGAGTCCAAAAAGAGATTGGGAAGCAAAGGAAGTGCCCCTTTAAAAGGAGTCCTACCTTCTTATTTTTCCAGCTCCTTTTCAAGAACAGTCTTTTTTACTTAAATATTCACTTCATGTCATTCCCCAATCCCACTTCATCACCTCTTGCATACGCACTCTTCTTACGAGTCTTGTAGTCCAGTGCGTCGCACATTGAAAACCGACTCATCTCTTAGTTTTGTCAAGAAACGATTCCACTGTACCTGCGAAACTTTGAAGTTCTTTTCTGCAAATGACTGAGTACTGGATGTCACACTCGAAACACCAACGGGCTCCAGCGACACTCGTCCAATGCTTGGCAAGTGGGACCAAAACACAAACAGCTTTTGAGAATGGGTGCTCAGCAAGAACCGGGAAAACTTCTGGGAGTTCCCTAGAGTCATCAGGTTTCTTCAAGTCAACCCTTGCACCTGGCCGCGCTGCAAGCCCGGTGGAGGCGACAGGAGGCGCTCCAAATCCTTCGAGTCAGCAAGGTCGTTTCGCCAAAGGAACTCCCAGGCCGCCTCAAAAAACATTAAATAATGTGCAAAGTGAACCCAACAATGAACCCAACGATGTTACACTGTAGCTAGTGGAGCTGAGCTCCAAGACGCTCTCATCCATGGTCTTGTAGCCGATGTGCAAAAGACAAGGGCCTGCATAACTCATCACCAGAATCAGTTCAACTGAATGTGATAAGCTTAGACATCGACCAGAAGTATCTTTGAGCATTGGCCAGTTCCGCGTCTCCACTGTCTTCACTCCATGCAACCTGAAAGGGTTGAATACAATGTGGAACTGTTGCTTTGCACACCTGAATATATGTCGACTTTGATTCAAGGACCTCTGAGCCTGGCCAGCCTGCATACCTTGAGATGCAGCTGACCTCGCAGACTTGCCTTCCTTTAGTATAAGCCTTTATTTGCTTTGACCAAGCAGCAACAGCGAAGCATAAGGGTCTCGCATGGAGAAACATGGCAACTCAACTTGCTCCGAGCTCTCAAGACCAATCGAGCTCTTACTCTTTGTGTCCTCAAAATTCAACGAATAAAGACCAAAGTATTTCGTTCATTCATCGCCAAAGCTGCAAAAGCACTTGTGACACCGTGCAATGCTATGCTGTCCTCTTTGGTGTCTTTGCTTTGCTTCACTGCTTTGCTTTGGCCAAGTTTCGTTCCACTAAGGGATCTGCGTTTGGGCGGTGTCCACTGTGTTCGATCGGCTCTTTGGCGCACTCGGAGCTGCGTGGCTCGCACGAGACACAGTGTGATGCCATGAGCCAAAGCTCGAGCAAATCTCGGCGTACACCACTGGCAGAGCCGTATCGAGGATGTGCTTTTCCGCTTTTCTATCTCTGATTGTGTTCTCCAAGAGGAAAAGCAGGTGAAGCTGCTTGCTCCCGTTCCGCTAAATGGAAGTCCATGGACAGAGAACGGCAGGTACACATGCTGGTTCATGGACGAGACCCAGGAGCTGCTCAAAGCCAATTCCAACCGACATGTCAAACTTGAACGAGCTTTTAACAACGTTCAACTGAAATGAAACCGGACATTCTGCTATTGCAAACCCATGCAGTTTAGAATACAGACCTCTTTTGAGAGCCACTACTTACTGTAACAAACCATTGTCTTCCTGAATATTCTTACAGTAGATCAGAAGTGCAAGCAAAGTTTGCCACCATTCCTTTAAAGTCAACAACTGTGCTGGGCTGCTGGTAAGGCTGTGCTCCCAGCTATGTCTTTTGTTAAAGCTTCCATATGCAAGCTGCAAACAAAAGCTCACAAAACGAACAAACAGCCTCAAAAGTTTGTCATTCATTGGAACTTTGCCTCCTGGTTTGCTATCCGGAACTTGTCCTGCCAAAAAGGTTGGTGTCAAATTGCCCAGAGATCAGTTCTGCCAATTATTCCTGGGGGGTTGTATCGCGACATCACGGTTTGGAAACACATGCTTGTTTTTGTGCCTACTGCATTCACTCACCTCAAAGCTGAGCAAAATGTCTGACACACAGGATTGTATCAAAAAATGTAGCTTCGTCTTTGGGATCTGTGCAACGCTTCCTCCAACGTGAGCACTGTAGGGAGCTGTCTGCGCCTTATCGTACAAAATGGCTACAGCACTACAGCAAGCTAGGTATTGGAGGGCAATGCTTCCTTTCGAGTAGTGGCAAGCTTGAGGCAATTGCTGCTGCCCCTGGCGACCCTTTGCTGCCTGCCACAACTCACCAGGCAGCTCAAATGATAGTGGGGCAACAATGGAAACCCGCCTTCTTGCCTTTGTCTACAGGAGATGACGGAAGGTCGGACAATGCCTGCACTGTCTATGCGTCTCCACAGGAACTGAGAATAACAAACTCTGTTCCAAAAAACACCACATAATTTATATAGACCAAACAAAACTGGTTTTGGCTTCACACCACACTGTGTCCTCATCATTGTCTTCTAGGCCAGACGTACGTTCTGCATCTCTCTGAAGATAGTCGGCAAGCATCTCATTTTCCATGCCTGAAGCTTGAAATTCAATCTCATCTTTCTGCTCATTCGGGTCATTGAGGTATCCACCCAGGATTTCATTTTGTTTTTGAAGGTCCGCGACCTCATCTGAAGCAACAGGTGGCATACTCACGAAGTAAACAAGCACTTTGTTGCTTTGTTTGTCCCAGGCCTTGTCTTGAAGCTCTTGCAAGCTTGACATGTGACGTCTTTGCCAATTCAAAATAACTGAAGGGCTGTGCATTTATTTGGATTTGAGCCAAAATGCGTCAAATGCGTGAGATTTGTAGCTCATTAGCTTCAAAGCACTGAGTTCCGAACAAGGTTCTGATCGCTTACTGTCTGTTCTTGTCTGCTGTTTTGCCGGCATTTTGGAGTCGAGGCCCAATCATGTCAACAGAGCAGTGCAGAAAACTCTGCTGAAAATGTTCCCAAAAGTGCAAGTGCGATGTCTCTGTGCGCATGCACTGGCTTCTGATCTGCTTGAATCCTGAGTCCGTGTGTATTTTGGTCCACCTTTGAGGCCCAGAAAATGACCACAAGCCAAAAGCATGCCGCAACCGCAACCCTTGGGTGGGAAGATAGGCTGCACTCTTTGGCAACCACGTTTGCAACACCCACTCTCATTGGTGGAGCTGCAATAATGATTTCTTCACTGTTTTTCTCTGCTGGTTTCGAGCTTGTTGCTCGCCCAACAGACCCTAAGCAAGCTTAATCTGTTCCAATCGGGTTTCTTGCTGCATCAAACGCAGCCTCTTCCCTGGACATGCGCAAGCGGGCACAAGCTTTTGGGTGTTGAATGCTCAACTGAAATTCGAAATCCTCTCAGGCCTAGGCTCATCTATGGGATCCGCATACTCAGCAAACCCCTTCACATTGACATGCTTGATGTGTCTACAAACACATGACGCCCGTGGACGAACTAAGCAAAGCCCTTGGAGGCTCAGTTGCGCCTTCAATTGTTCCATCTGCCATTGCCTCTCACGTTGTCTCCACAAGATCTCCAAAGCTGCTCGCCTTGGTGACAATGATGAGACTACAAAACGAGCAATCGGAAGTCAGCCAAGTCGCCGCGAGCCGAGCACATGAAGGAAAATGAACTGAAAGCTATGTCACAAGTGCCACCAACAGGCATTAGCAAAACGGCCTAACAAGTGCGCATTCCATGTCAGCAATTTCTTGAGTTTGGCTGTCCAAATATGATATTTGGACGGAGGACAACCCCGTACCGGCAGCATATTTCTTCAGCAGTCGATGGATAGAAAGGATTGCAAAGGTCTGTTGCAAGAATTGAGTTTAACATTCGATAAGCCCCGCCTTAGTAGCCTTAGCAGCTAGAACTTCAGCTCCGTGCGTATGTGTGTGTGTGTGCGTGAAACCCTTGGAATCATAGGGTTTCCTTTGAAGTTTTTCAGGTTGTTGTTTCAGAGTTGTCACTGTTAGATGCAGGGGGATGGAGAGGACGTATGAGGCTCCATCCAACGAAGCTCCATACGATCCTAGGATATCATCACGGATGCCCGATGACGTACCTGTTTGTGATGATTTTTCACTTCCCAATGGGCCCCGCTTTAACTACAACAAGATCACCAGCCATTGCAAGGGCTCACTCAAGTCAAGTGCTAACGGGCTCTACAGATGTGCACGATCCGTCGTCATTCTGTCGCCCTCGTCCGCTTTTCGAGCTCTTTGAACTTGGTGAATTTCTTGGAGGTTTTCTTTGGGCCTCCGAGTCCGAACGCTTTGTATACCCACCCTGGTTCCTTGGGCTTTTCGCTTAGGTTGGCGTGTGGCCAACCGCAATCGAGTCAGTACGCATTATCTTCAGTGTGTCTGACCTTATAAGGTCAGCCCAAGGTGTACCCGAGGAGTGTCCTGTGGCCCCGTCGAACGGGGGTTTGTCTACCATATCACCTGCCCGGATACAGAGCAGTCCGCGGCGGACAAAGCAGGCTTGCTCCAAAGTTACTTGCCAAGACTTGACAAATTGTTAAATACAAGTAGGCAGCCCTCGGGCACGCCATGAGGTGACCACAGCGGTCTGAGCAGCCAGCCATTTTGGCACGGCGTACTTGGCCGCAGCGGCCGTAGAACTCTCAATGACTCTCAAGAATTACTGGGGTCTGTCGCCACCTTGGGTGCACACACAGCGCGCACAAACAAGGCAGGTCTTCCTAGGTGTTTAAAGAGGTTTGGCTTCATCGGTTTCCGGCCCTCGATTTGGTTCCCTTTTCATCCTTTTCCCCTTCACACACTTCTTCTTTCCTTTTCTTTTCATGTCCTTCCGCCTTCATGTTCCGTCGTCTCTTCTTTCTTTCTTTTGCGCACACTGCCCGGCCCTCAGCATATTCGCGCACAACGTACCTTCAACCCAGGTTTCAGGTGGGCCAGGTCTTGACAATGCGGGTTGGGTTCATTGGTTGTCCCCGATCACGTCGGAGTCGACAAACTCCAAAGGGCTCACAATGTGTAGATGTCAGCTGGGCGTCGGGCCGAAGCAGGGTCGTGTGGGAGTTAGCCCACCAACACAGGTGATCATGGAGGGCATTGCGAGTGTCGCCGTTCGCCTCCAGCGACACAAACGGCAGAGTGATAGGAGCGCTTGTCGAGGACGGCGTCGCACTTGGGGCACCAGCCATCCGCGGCCGCGTCGGCGATACCAAGACGCTGTCCCACCTCGGTCACGAAGAGGGCGGGCTCCATCCGCGTACGCCCACATGGGACCGCGGCGAGGAAAGCTCGCGCCCCCTCCTCAGCCTCAGAAAGCAAGCCTTGGCGGCAACCGTAGAGGAGGCCAGGTGGCGCATCCACGAACCTTTGCTTCATGGCAGGGGCATCCAGGGACAATTCGGCTCCAGCTACAAGGAGGCCAAAGCGGAAGCAGCATGGCTGTCAGCAACTGCAGTGTAGGAGGCATCCAAACCGCTGCCACCAACAGAAGGCCGCAGCGCTGTCGCGGGCAGTGCTGCGAAGACCCAGCCCAGCCACTGAGCAACTCCGCGTCGCGTGAGGCTTGGTTCCATTGGGAAGCCGTAGGGCGCAGTCCGCTCAAGGTTTGGAAGGAGCGGTGGACCTGCTCATCAAAGGAGCGGAGGGCCGCCGTCCCTGTGCACACCATTTCCCCTTCATGGCAACCACGCACTTTTGCCCTGTCCCGTCCTCCTTGTCATGTCTTCATCTTTTTGTCCTGCTGCGCGCACAACTGCACATTTAACTAAGTAATTCTGCCTCCCTCATCAGGAGGCGTGTTTGTGAAGCCCTTGGAATTATAGGGTTTTGTTGGAATTTCTTTAGGTTGTTGTTTTAGAGTTGTCACTGTTAGACGGAGGGGGATGGAGAGGACGTATGAGGCTCCATCCAACGAAGCTCCTTGTACGATCCTAGGATATCATCAGGGACGCCTGATGACGTACCTGCTTGTGATGACTTTGCGCTTCCTAATCAACCCCGTTTTAACTACAACAAGATCACCTCAGAGTCCGAACGCTTTACGTTACTCACCGTGGCTCCTTTGGTTTGTCACTTAGGTTGGCGCGTGGCCAACCGCAATCGAGTCAGTACGCATTAGCTTGAGCGTGTGTGCGCGCGCATGCTCCCTTGTGGGTTTCAAATAGATTCCCAGCGTATTGTTGGTGGAGGGAGCCCAACCGCCTGGTGTGGGGCATGGTGATATCAACCACGCGCACCTGCAAACAATGAACTCCTGACCTGTTGTTCCGGTACTATAGCCAGCACGTTTTCATTGGAGTGGCTATGTGGTTCGAGACTGTTGCCGTGATAGTCGTTGTGTTGGAAATCCTCTTGACATCTCTTGAACACGCTTTCGGAACTGATCTTCACGCACTCGCACGAAAAGCAAAGGAAACCTTTTGCTTTTCAAAAACGCGACTGCCATGTTACCACAAACGTCGGCGTTCTGTGTAGAACCATTCTTGAAAATAGAGAATCGGTTCAGCTCTTCTGGT